ATCCTCAACCTGGCTGCATCAGACTTCCTTTACCTCTGCTGCCTTCTTATATTCTACCTATGGAAACTCATTGACCACTCTGACTTCAAGTACTACATCTACATACATCCAGTGGGAATGTTGTCATACACCATGTGCCTGTTCATGCTCAGTGCCATTAGCGTCAAGCATTGCCTTGCAGTCCTGTTCCCCATCTGGTACTGCTGTGGCCACCCAAGACACATGTCAGCTGTCACGTGTGCCCTGCTCTGGGCTCTGTCCCTACTGCTCACCATTCTTGTACACATCTCATGTAGCTCTCTGTTTGAGAACGATGAGCTATGTTTGAGAATACATTTCATCATAGCCCCATGTCTGATCCTTCCATTTGTTATTCTCTGTGGGTCCAACCTGGCCTTGCTGGTCAGGATTCTCTGTGGCTTCAGCAGGTTGCCACTGACCAGGTTGTATGTGACCATAGGGCTGTCAGTGCTGGTCTTCCTCCTCTGTGGCCTCCCTGTGGGCATCATATGGGCTCTGGCAGGCACAGTTGCTTTTTACACTCACTTTTCAACCTTTAAGGTCCTTGAAAGGGCTGCTTTTTTGCTGTCTAGTATTAACAGCAGCGCCAACCCCATCATTTACTTCTTTGTTGGCTCCTTTAGGCAGAAACAGCAACAGAGGCAGCAGCGGCAGTCCCTAAAGCTGGTTCTCCAGAAGGCCTTGGAGGATATGGCTGAGGGAGAGAAAACTGGAGAAAATCTTCCTCAGGAAAATACTGAGATGTCAGGATCTCCTTAATGCAGTGATTCTGTATCTACCATCAGTCACTCAGAGAAGTAGTCCCTCTAGAAGATTACATATATAACTGTGAAAGGTCACACTCTGATATAGAGAAAAAGTATATAGATTTATAAAGATACAAATAGAGGCATTTCCCCATTTATCTATGCATTGTATGTGGCAGCTTTCACGTGCAACAGCAGTTCAATGGTAGTAGTAGAGGCCATATTACTGCAACGATTAAAATATTTACTAACTGTGCTCTCTCTCTCTCTCTCTCTCTCTCTCTCTCTCTCTCTGTACATGCTCATGCACATGCATGCCCACCCAAAGGCACATATGAATGCTTTTAATAACACAACCATAAGTTCTGGATACATTATCTGGTAAGGATGTTGTCTCTTTCTCTCAGGCAGGAGCTTCTAATCTACAGCAAGCTAGTACCAATAAACATAAGCCAAGACTCAGAAAAACCAACTACAACCCCTTCCAGTCTCTCTCACTGCCTGCAGATTTGATAATATGAGGGTTCTTTAGGTGAATTTGGCTCCTTTCGTGAAAGAGCTAAACACACACCATGTCCAGCAGTTAAAGAAAATCAGAGGCTGACGAAGAGTAAGTAGAGTGGTTGTGGGACCAGCTGTAGGTTCATGCCAATGAGGCAGCCAACAGAGAAGCAACAACATGCACGAGCATCTTAGTATGTTTGCGCCAGCTAAAGCAAATGAAAACTATATCGCTGCTGTTTTCAGTCCAATAAGGAAATCTTGATCCTCAACCTAACTAGAAATTTAACAAAAAGGAAATCTCAGAAATGTAGTTAGTCTAGGTCAGTTGACACTTTCAAATAATCCCAGCCTATTCCTTGTCAACTTGATGACTTTTTACCCTCTTTATACCATAGACAATTACAAATAAAGACAATGCCAAGGCTTTCTCTGTTTTGGTATAACTGTCCAGTGTATACTTCAAAACATACTATCTCTACAAGTAATACATTTTGGCCATCATCATGACAATATGTACCATTTTACGAATTGCCTGTTCAAGACTGTTGCCTATTTTTATGGAATTCCCTTTCTACATTCTTCATTAAATTCTTTATGTATTCTAAATTTTAAAATGCTTTATTTTTATTACACAGCTTCACAGGCAAGCTCTCATTTGCTGCCATTGCTTCTGGTCTGGATTCATCATTTGCAATCAAAGGCTTCAGAATAGCAATTACTTATAGGAAGATAAACCAATTAAGGTGAGATGTGAGTGCAAATTAGGCAGATATCCAGAAACATCTCTATGAGGAATTGTGTCACGAACTGCTCTGGTCTCTGATTTGCCCAGAGTCCCTATGCAAGAAATCACAAGGGCCATATCAGCATTTGATAAGTCTGGCTTGGTCATCCACTTTGACTCCAGCGCCTATTGGCTTTTCTTCTTTGAGAGGACAGAGGTAGGTACTCAGCTGTCACTCATGCTCAGAAAAGCACATCCTCTTCTATGAGGGTCTACTCTCCACATCCAGAGAGAATAATTTACAAAAGGTAAGGGTACATACCAAGACCAATCTTATTACCAGAGTGTGTTAAAGATTTTATTCCAAGTTCATAAGCCTATTTTCTACACTGGATGCTACATTCAGGATTGAGAAGTTTCCTTCAGGGAAAAGAAGGAGACATGAAACCTCCTTCTAAAAATGGTGCTGGCAACCTTGACTAAGTATGTCTCTATGGGGTTATCCAAATCATTTTTTATTTCAATACATTTCCACACATTTTCCACTTTATTCTCAACATACCATTCTCCTTTCCTAGGGAAAATGCTTCCTCTTAAAATTTATTTAAGTTACAAGTTGACCCATGGGCCTTGCATATCAGAGCTGAACTGAAGTCAACCCAGGTTTAATTATTTCACTTACTTTTTGAAGTTATTCTCTAGAGACTGACAATGTATGATAAACCATGCTAAGCCAATCAATAGAAAAACCATGCTAAGCCAATCAATAGAGGAAAATATATCCAATATTTACTGGAGTTGTTGGAAAGAACTATGGTTATATGGAGGTGGACAGGGGAGCATTTCCTCAGCATCTGATTGCTACAGAATTGGTGTCTGTCTCTCTGGAGTTTGCCTACAAGGAGGACAACAGCTTTTGGAAACGAGCAACTTTGAATAGACCTTTGCAGTGCAAGTCTTTAGCCATGAAGGTGGGTGCTGCACTAGAGTAAATCAGGAGTTGATGTAAGGGAACTGACTGGGGTGTACTGGTGATCCAGCAACAACATTCCAAACTGCTTGAACCAAGGCAGGGTTGAGGGAGCCCTCAGAGGGCCAGCCCATACCAAAAGAGGACCACTCGAGCTCACAAAAAGTGTGGCTTGTTCTTTGACATTTCCACTCCATAATCATCAGAAAATCCTGAGGAAAAATTTCTAAGCATGCAGACCAGGGTTGTAACAGGTTGTGAAGATGACAATGCCATGGTAGAGAGACTTAGGGCAGGCAGGAGATGCCCAAGAACAGGAGCTGCAAGAACAAATAAAAAGAGAAGAAGACATCTGGACATAGAGAAAAAAAGCCTTACTATTCATGTGGTGCATCTTTCAACGATGTCTCGACAGACAAAGGAAGGGGGTATTCCTCTGTGAGGAGGAACTACTCAGTCAGTTGACTGGTCTCGGGCTTCTCAGCCACTTTAAGGACCATCCAGGCTTTATGGTATATTTATCTCATTGTAAGAGCACCCACTTGGACTTTCTTAGGTGCATCCATGGAACTGCAGTATGACCTCATTCAGATCCTGTAACTCTGAGGGGGAATCCCCCTCTTTCTCGTGGGACACAGACAGAACAGTCTATAGTTTAGACTGTCCATTATCATTCATTCACCCATTCAAACAGCAATCATTCAGAGGCTAAAAACACACATCCCCAGGGACATACCAGGTTGGCTGACTTGCAACCAGACCAGACCAGACCAAAGGGCCACCTCAGTCAGCATCCTGACCTTAGCAGGGGCCCAGAGAATTGCTTCATCAGGAACTATTGTTCCCCACCAGAACCAGAAGGATCCTTACCAGACCAGACCAGATGGACTCCAGAAAACTTGGAGGGTGTCACAGGCATCTCTGCAGTCCCCTCGTGTTTCGGCAGTGAGACTACAATGGGGCCCTGGAATGTCTCAGGGGCGCCTCCCATATAGTTTGCTGTTGCGGGTGGGAGGGATCACAGTGAGGCCAGTCCACATATTGTGGCCATCTCGCTGGGGCCTCCAGCTGTTATGGACAAGTGAGTTAGAACAATGGAGGTGTGCCACACTCTGTGACAGATTTGAGCCCATTTATTAAGCCAGCAGCTGAGCGGTGCTAGTGCCCAGAAAGTTTTCTCAGCAACAGGAAGAAGTTTGATTTCTCCTTTTAAATCATGCCTTCAGTTAGGGTGGGCTCAGTGCAGAACAAGCAGAATCTTACAGAAGCAGAACCATGCCAGGTTAGTGAGGGGCACAAGGAAGTTTCACACACCAGGTGAGCTACAAAATGTCCTGCAACTACAGCAAGTTTATGGCCAAACAGGATGTGGGGGTTTTGGGTGCTTTGTCCAAGTACAAGCACTTCGTCCAAGCACAGGTATAAGTTGATATTGAGGCTCAAGATGGAGTCAGGTTGGCTATCACATAATAATAAATTAAGTTTATCTTACTATAACTGAAGTAATTCCAGAGGCACAGTAGATCAGTTTTAGTTTGCTGTGTCTATTGTGACAAAATACCTCAGATTAGGTGATTTAAACAATAGAAATGTATACTCTCACAATTCTGGAATAGAAGTCTGAGATGAAGGATATGTAAGGTTTGATTTCTTTAGCGACCTCTCTGGTGACCTTGCAGAATTCATCTTTTGTCATCCATCTGTAGTACTCTCATACCAAGTCCTCACAGTACTGGATATTTAGACAAATGCAAGGATAAGAAGTGGTAAAATCAAAACCAGGAACTAGATTGTGGGTGGCAGCAGGAATCAAGATGTTCCTTTCTGTTGAAGGCAGTGCACTCCCCAAAGAAGGACTGCAGCTAGGACTAGTCAAAGCTCCTCTTGGCTCTCTTTGGCCTTGCAGACCCACAGATGGGGGAAGGTTAAAGCCAGAGCTTCTCTCTCCCAATCCCCTAACCACATTGTAAGAGTTGGAGACAGAGAATGACTCAGAGCTTCCTCAGCTTCCTGTGGACAGAGTAACATTGGAAACTTCTGTTACCTTCAGCCCTTCAATAATTCTGCCTAAATTGGCATAGGCAGCAGGGGTGGCAGAAACCATGTGAGCATCAGACTTCAGTGCCAGCACGGTTTCATCCCTATGTGGCACTTGGACATGGCGGTAGAAGGCAAGTGATCTGATCCTTACTTCTTGAGGGTGGCACCCTCCATTTCCCTCTATGTTGCAACACCTGTCCCTGACAATGCAGGCACCCAGCAGGCTTAGTTCACAGTCACTCTGCTTGTCCAAGGTGCATTTGTGAGACCGCTACTACCAAACCCAAGCAGTGGAGCATCAGTGGAACTCCAGAGATGGGAATAGCTATGTGCTTATCAGCCATGGAGCAAAACAAACTTAAGATAATAGCTCACATCTCAAGATAGTTCTTGGCTATGGCACCCTGAGAGAAGCTAGGAAATTCTTTCTTCAAAGTCAGGCTATTGTGCAGATTTCAGGTTATCTAAGTTGAATGCAGGCCTGTTGTGGTTGCAAAATATCTCCTAGCTGAGATTATCATTATCCTTACTGAAAGTGTTACTGGGAATCACTTTTACCCTTATTCCTGGCACAGGGATCTCTTGCTCTATTAGCTGTGGACACAGGAGTGAATGGACCAAGGCATTTTATTTCACTTACTGCACTGTTTTCATAGGTCTCTGAATCTTATAAACTTATTGTCTCTTTCTTTTTTTTCAGTAAGTTTATTGGTACATTTTAGGTATACAGTGCGAAGACATTCATCTTTGGGAATTTGTACCTTTACATGATGTA